TATATATCTATGCCCATCATACATCACTAAGATGCAGTACAATGTGGATGAAGTGTGAACTGAAAATAAACATTTATTAGGATGTTGAGAAGCTTATATAGATGACAGTCGATATATAATATAATTAGGTATAGAGAGAGAGAGAGAGAGAGAGAGAGAGAGACAGATATATAGATATATTAAATTAAAAAATTACAGCTGTCATAAAAACTGAAAGGGTGTTTAGTTTGTCCGGTCTGGGCTTCTGTAAAAACATGGTGGCCTCCACAGAGAGGACCCACTCCCAATGTAAATATATAGTATTTAAATATAAAGGGCCACACGAGTGAGAACATCACTTGGATTACTGTGTATTCAATTTGTGCCGTTAGATCCTTTCACCTAAATCTGAACCTTGAATTCATTTCTTTTTAAATTGTTCTTTTGTATTGTTTTCTGTTGCTTTTACAATTTGTCATGATGCATTTTTTATTTTACTTAAAACACTTTGAATTGCCTTGTTGTTGAAATGTGCTGTACAACTAAACTGTACGTTTATGATACGTCGTACTTGTAACTTTGGAGCTGTAATATTACTTCACCGTATATCTTCAACCTGTTTGTTAATGCAGTGACATGATTAATGAAGTTTTTTCTACTCTGCAAGAACAACAGCCTCATAAGAACATCTGAACGTGCTGGTGAATTTATATAACTTCATGCTTTTAACCAAAGATTCAAAAACATGAAAGTAAAGAAGAACTGAAAGTATTTGTTGAGCGGTTTAATGAGGAAACAGCTGATGAGCCTGAGAAACTACGACACAAAGTCACTGAGCTGCAAAGCAACAACAAGCTCAAAGCCACAGTAAGAACAACAAGCTCCCTCGAGTTCTGTAAACTGATCGTTCCTGAGGAAACACATCTGTGTTTTTAAACAACCTGCTGCTGCAAAGACGCAACTCCTTAAATAAACTAAATAGAAATGAAAAGGCAACGCACAAAGTGATCCTGTTCACATTACACTTTTATGAAATCAACTCCACACACTTGGCATTGTCCAATAATATTTTCCTACAAATTGTGTCGCACAAAAACCCAGCAACTAAATGGAAGCTGCACCAGAGAGTGAAACAATCACTGGACTGCAGCTGCACAACAACTGCTGAATGTGGCCGATTATTAAATAACATATTTCAATATTAAATACACGTTCAAGATCTTTTCTACACTACACATTACATGCACATAATAACCCAATCAAGGCCAGTAAGGCAATTCTCGACATGTGTAGTTTAAACAAGGTGTTTCTTGGCCCGACAGTTTTAAAGTAATTAGTGTTTTGAAACTCGCAGGCTAACATGACCCTAAAAAAGCCAGAAGACAGCACCTTATTGTGGTTTACGTATCCACAACTATGAGCAACATCTAACTTTATTATTTACTGAATCCACAAAATCGATTATTGGTGTGCATGTAAAAAGTAGTAATTCTCTCTGAAAATGTAGATCTCAGGGTCATGATCAGATCATTTACTTGTCAGTGTCGATATTAAGGTTGAGCCAATATTCACCTTCAGGTCCTTCCAGTCAGAAAAGAGGAGAAGAATGAAATGCACTTGTTTAGGGGGGAAGTAAGGGAGATAGAAATAAAAAGAAGTCCAGGTTTGTCTCCATGTTCCATAACCAGTTGGAACAAAAAAGTCAGTTGTTTGTTGTGGTTTTCCTTAAGACGGATGAGCAGTTATTTAAAAAGGCAAATGTCATTTTCTGCTTCCTGCTGCTGACTTTCTGCCGAGCTCCCTGGCTCTCTCGGTGGCCGACTCCACGGCGCTCATGGTCGTTGCCCTCATGCCGCCTTGTTCCAGCGTGTGGAGCCCATAAATGGTTGTTCCACCTGGGGTGCAGACTTCAGAGCGCAGCTGAGCTGGATGCTTCCCGGAGTCACGCAACAATCTCCCGGCACCCTGAGACACACAGCGGCAAAATCAAATCAATGAGGAGGGTTGATGTGTATCAACGGCCGTCTTCAAACCAACCCGACAAGAAAACTGATTTATCATTTATCATCTTGAATCTGCACGTTTTTGAAGCTACAGAACACGAAGAAATTCCTCACAGACACGGAGAGAACTTGCAAACTCCACCCAGAAAGTTTTGTAATGTGGTATATCAAGGTAAGACACACGTACATGTGTTTAATCACATACAGAGCGAGGAGGTGAGGTGAATGGTCAAAGGAGACACATGTGGAGACACATTCTAAGGCCAGATGTGAACTGACGTACTTCACTTGTGACTGGATCACATGAGACAGATGTTAATACCAGGGATGAACAGGGTTATGAGCTTTCACATCTTGTTTTTCTGCTATGCATTTATTGCACAGCGATTGTACCCAAGATGTATTTTAAGTCTCTGGATTAAAGATAAAGCAATTGGAATAAAAACTGTATAAATCACTGTGTCGAGCGTATTGTTGGCTCAACTGTAGGTTCTATATTATATTTAAGTTATAACTGAATCAACGTAGTTACCAAGAATCTCCACTTTCTTTCTTCAAGTTCGTCAGCGTTAGTTTTGTGTTTTATGATTCATATTTTATATTTTTCACTTTAGCCTTAATTGAAGAGAATTTTATGTATATATTTATTCTGTCTTCTTTTCATCCATGTTTTGCCCAAAAACTTTGTGTCTCCAGACTCAGAATGTTAAAGAGCATAGATTATTTGTATCTTATCTGAAACTGATGATGTTGCTGATGTGAACAAAACAAGTACAAACACACCGACGCAAAAAAAAGAAAAAGAAAACACTGTGCAACTGACCAGAACCGTCTGAGATGCGATGCTGTGGGCCAGAGCGCTGGGCATGCCCATTTTCACGGCTCCTTCTGCCAGAGCTTCAGCAAACAGATAAACCTGCAGAGAAGAATCCCAAGCATCAGATCATACGATGAACAAAGTCCAGTTTCAGAACAAGTTAATCTAGGTCTTTGTAACCACACACTTTATTCTGCACAACTCTTAGTAAAATGTTTAAATGTTTCAACAGAGGACACTGCAGCACAACCGTACAATCTGAGCTCACTCACGAAAGCGACCCCACTCCCACTCAGTCCAGTGTGGATGTCGATCCAGGCCTCAGGTCCCTCCTCCACCAAACCACAGTGATGCAACAAGGAGCGAAGCAGAACTCCGTCCTCCTCTTTTGCATGAGATCCTCGTGCAAACAGCAGAGCTCCTTCTTGAACCATACATGGCAGATTGGGCATCAGGCGGATGGTGACTGAATTCTCTGGAAGGAGCTTAGAATCAGACAGAGCGGAGGGTGAACACGATAACTCATTGTTACAGAACTGTCTTAAACATTCTGTCGATGGCTCTCACCTCCTCTAACGTTGCCAGTGTTACTCCTGCTGCCACAGACACGACTGTATGTCTGTCGGTGATGTGCTGTGAGATCTCATTGAGGACTAGAGATACCAGGTGAGGTTTGACGGCCAGGAAGATGACATCTGAGCCACAGACCACCTCTATGTTGGAATGAGTGATGGAAATCCCCAGCTCCTGAAAGCAAGAGGAAGAGATGTGAGATAAAACAACAGATGAGCTTTCAGGCAGCAGCTATGGACGGGCATCTGTACTCGCATATATATTGACACAAGGACAACATGGAAGTATGAGCTGTGCCCGGAGGCAGGAGACATACCTGAAAGTTTCCGAGGTTCCTGAGGGACGGTGCGCTCACTTGGATGTTTGCTGGAAGAACATTTCCTGTAGATGGAAACAAACGATTAAATTGAATAATCCTTAATCAAATCCTTTTCCTGAATCACAGACACGTTCTATTTTCACTCACCGGACAGGATGCCCTTTGCGATGCCGTACGCTATGTTGCCTGCACCGATAAAACCGATTTTCAGCTGTGATTTAATCTCAGGGTCCATTTTGATCTGAAAGATGAGGACAGATTAGAGCTGGGAACATCAATAGGATAAGACACAAAATATTCACACATTGTGATTCACAGGACAACCTACAACACAATCTGTTTCCCACGGTAACAATAGAATCACACAAACTCACACACACCTGAGGAGTCAGTATGGCAAAACAGAGAAACAATTAGTTGATTAATCCATTTAAAACCATTTTATTCTTTGCTTGTTTTTTTAACTGGTTGTATGTAAAATAAAAACAAACTTTTAAATTACACATTTAAAAACCAGCCTTTTTCAGTAAATTGTATTTCAGTTATTCCTGTATTATTCTAGATTCTGTTTATAGTCATTGTTCTTATTTCTAAGCTACTACTTTGTGCTGCGGTGTGAGTTTTGAATTTCCTACCACCTACATCTTCACTGATGGACTCAAACTGAATATATTTGGGTTTTGGATTGTCGGCTGAGCAAAATAAGCAAATTAAAGACCAGATGTTGGTCTAACATAATTTTCAAATGCCACTTGTAAAATATCTTTAAATATTTTATACACTAGAAGACAAAGACAATAATGTGGAGATGCATCAGTAATGAAAACAGCTGTTTGTTGCAGCTCTGCTGTGATGGCACATGTTTACCTTTGGCTTTTGGAGACTCAACATGTTGCAGTATCTTCACCTGGACTATGTAAAGCTGAGAGGGAAATTATACACTACTTCTCAAGATTATAACACACTGACAACACACGATTCAACAGCTTCACAAGCTGCAGCCTGCGAGATCGACACAGTTCAACTCCTCTTAGAAGCAGATTCAACAGCAACACTCTGCAGGACTGTGGTGCAGCAGCTTTCAATCACTACACACTGGTGTGATGCATGTTAACAACACAAACCAACGCATGCATCTACACAACACACGAGACACATGGAACCACAGCTAACGACACACTTCGTGGGATCCACGGCGTCACCCCTACAATTAAATCCAGGTTCTGAGCGGTGATGCCCGGGCAGGGCTGAGGCCAGGGCAGCATGGACGCTTCTCCATCCGAGTCCTCGGTCACCTCATCCATCCGATCAGAGTTCGCCCCGGCCCCGACCAGCGGGTGTCTGGACTCCATGATGGCGACCATCGTCTTCTCGTAGCGCCACCAGCCCTGGATCTTGGTCGGGGCCGGAGCGTTGGGCGCCCTCTTGCACTTGTAGTACGCACTTTTAAGAAGTTTCCAGCGGAACTTGAGCTGGTCCACGGAGCGGTGGTAGCCGGCCGCCGTCATCCTCCGGTGCGCCACCTTGAAGAGCTTGTTGTTGCGCACCTTCCTCCCGTCCAGGCACTTCTTCATGTCCAGCTCCTTGAGGATCTCCAGGAACAGCTCCGTCTCCCTCACGTCCCAGTTCTGCTTCTTCATACCGGGGTCGTCCATCGTTGCGCTGGCTCGTTAGCTCGGCGGCTAACAAACCGCTAGCCCGGGGCGGCAGGGCGCTCACGCGGCTAGCTGGCTAGTTAGCATGTCTGGTGCGGCTTAAGCGTGAATCCGAGTAGAGCCTACAGGTGGCAAACACGGTGCTAACGATGCTAACACCGCGATCGATCTTTTAAAAAAAAAACGGAGCCCCGCTGCTGCTAGCTACCTAGCTAGCTAACCCCGGGACAGCGAGAGAATAATCCCGGGACAGATTAGATTAGGAAAACAATGCACGTGTTCTTGTTGACTGGACAACCACGAAGTGACACGGAGTTACACACACACCGAGGCCGGGCGATGCAGCGTCGACAGCGGCTAACGCCGGAGGGAGGGAGGCTGGGTATTCACCTGGTGGGTCTCAGGTCTGCAGAGGTCCGACGCTCCTTAAAAACTCAAACCGATCCTCAACGTAAATATCGGTCACCTCGGATCCGCTGACGACACCTGTCCAGAGTGACAGCGCCGCCACGTGGTTTCAGAATAACAGGGAACTTCGTACGGTGGCCGAGAGAGCCCACAAACAAAAAGTCACAACACATAAAGTGCATTTTATTTGAATTATTTTCTAATTTTGATTCAGATTCATCTTTTTAATCTTGTTATCTCTGACTCTTTTTAAAGTTTTATTTATTTTCCTTGAAAGTTAACGTGCTATACGATTTGTTTTCTATTAATTTCGTCTCTGTGTTGTCTGTATGTCCCTGTACAGCAACTCAAATCTATCTCTGTGTAATGTGCTTTATTAATAATATTCCTTACTGTTCAATCACAGATTTTTTTTAATTTAACAATTTTCTAACACACGAGCAATATGACCCATGGATCAAAATACAATAAGAGCAATAAGAGACATCATGTGTAGGCCTATTTCATTATATTTATATTGATTATCTGTTTACATCTTGTTCTTTGTTTATTTCTAATAAACAATACTTCATACTTTATCACATGAGAATGATCAGTTTAATGTTTGACCTCCAGATTCCTACTGGGAATATTTTTATTTTGAATTTAAATAATGTCTACTCACACGCAACAGATAAGAATAAATGAACATTAAAAACAAACAGAATTTAGAAATAAAAAAGATAACGTAAAAAGCAAAAGCAAATAAAATGTAGAGTTGAAAATTGATAAATAAATGGACCATCCTTTCTAAAACAAGACCATCCGAGGGGTACTTGAACGCAGCATTATTGGAACACCATTGGGTTTGTTTGTTTTATTTTACTTGTCACCCTTCAAACCAGGTGGGCGGTGCTTTCACCCTCTTTCTCAACAGCACCGCCCCTCTTTCTTGCAGCCTGTATTAAATCAGGCGCATCCGTCACCAGGCGTGTGGGGCGGAGAGTGTGTCAATCATGTGTCATTTCAATCAGCTGTGAGTGTGTGTGTAAGTGTGTGTCTGTGTGTGTCTGTGTGTGTGTGTGAGACCTGCTTCACACTCTGTGCACAACGACCTGCAAACCCCAGGTACGTGTTTCCATATGTGAATCTCCTTCAATGCTTTGAATCCACTGTGCAGAGAAATTACATTTGTGTTGTACTTGCACGTTTGTGCACAGATTTGCTGCTGAGCGCTTTAAATGTGTTAAAATGTGATTTCTTATTGTTTCCTGTTGTCCTCTGCAGAAGAAAGAGGACAAACTTCCTGTGTTTTTTTTTTCATTTTTCCTGCTTAAACTGGAAACTGAATCATGTTAAGATCTTTCTAATTGTGCAGCTTAAAAAAAAAAGTTCTGTTTTTCATTATTAGTAAAGACAAATAATTGTAAATATTAAATTCCTCAATTTTCAATAGAAACACTTGTCTGCAGTGTGTGAGCAGCAGAGCAGACATGCCTGGACAAGCCTCAGTGTTGACTCCATTCACTGCATGAATGAATGAACGTTTTCATTTGATATTAATTATATATTATTGAATTGATTTGCAGCCTCTGCAGGTAACAAGACATCAAAAATCCATACACACCAGATTCAAAATGCTGCATATCCATTTTAAATCTGTAAATTCAAACACACAGAGTCTGGTAATGGTGCCATCTAGTGGTGTCCCTTTATACTGTGGTTGTTGCAAAGTCCCCTTCCACTCGAACGTGTTTGACTTCACTCTGATGTGTGAGATTCACTTTGCAGAAATAATTCACTGAACCAAACTGTGCACAAGTTAAATTAATGTGAAGTAATAATCAAAATGGCTCCGTTAAAACTGCAGCAAACAAACTAAGTCATATCAACAAACGCTGTGGCGACAATTTGCCTTTTTTAAATCAGCATCTGCAAAATGTTGTATAAAGAAGCTTAACAGAGGAAAAAATGAGAATTTAACCTTTTTCCAAACTACTTTTTATTACTTATTGTTGTTAATTAAAGATTTAAGTTGTAACGCTTCATTTCAACATGTATTCTTGTTTCCAGACATGGATCGTCCACTGATCCTCCTGCTCATCATCACCTGTCAGTGTCCTGCCGTCGGCGGACTGTTTGAGTGGCTGAGGCGGACAGATGCTCCTCCTGCTCCACCTCCTCCACCAGCCGCCGCTGCAGCTCCTGCTCTTCTGGCAAAGGACGCTCAGTTTGAAATGGCCACCGTCGACGAGAAGTTTTTGGCCGAGGCGAAGCAGATGGAGCTCAGCCCGTTGGACAGTTGTCATTACAAGGTCAAAACACACTTTCACAGCCAGACTCACATGAATACAACTGAATATATAGAATATTTTCAATTTAGAAAAATGAACATATTTTTTTGTTGTGTAATACATAAACATAATCTTCTCTGAATTGTTAATTACATGAAATAGAAGTTTTCGTATTGGTAATCATAAACTTTGACACCAATATGTCTGTGAAAGGTTTCTATTAGTCTTTAGGCTAAATATTAGTCCGAAACTCAAATTTACCATCAAACAAAGAAAATCTTGAGGCTTCCACTGAAACCTTTTTAAAAACCTCAATATCAATATATTTGACAATTAATCTTCCCTGCCATCGCTTCAAACACTGATATTAAAGATGGGAAGAGCTTTAGAAAAAAATTTAATAATCATTTTTCCTTCTCGTCGCATCTGAAACCTGCGTTGCGTTCTGCTGCAGGTGGTCGCCCAGCTGAGGGCGAGCTGTGAGAGCCTCTCAGAGGAGCAGCTGGCAAAGCTCGGAGTGGTGCTGTTCAACTGTCAGGCCGAGAGCGAGGGCCGTCAGACCTACCCCTGCACAGAGGAAATGGTAAACACACTAAAAGCTATTCCACATAATGTATTTACTATATTTAATTACTTTCCTGTGACGTTTCAGTCGATTAAAGACTGCACAGCAAACATGGACTCGGACACGTGGAACGCTTATCACATAGTGAGCAACCGAGCTCGCTCCGTCTGCTACGCAACTCGCCAGCAGCTCTTCCGACGAAGAGCGGAGCACACGGTCAACGCTCTCATCTCCACGGCAACCAGTCAGCTGGATGCCATGAAGGACCTGAAGGTAGAGTCGGGTTTTGTCTTCTACTCTGACAGCTTCTCCTTCACAGTTTGTTGTGTGATCTGTGATCGTTGCCACACAGGAGGGCCAGTCGGAGTTGCGGGAGCTGACGGCAGCCTCCCTGGACAAGCTGCTGCAGGGCCACAGCTCTCTGCAGGTCCAGCAGGGGAAACTACACGAAGGCCAGGAGCAGATGGAGAGTTCACTGAAGAACAACCTGGAGCGTCTGGGTCAGGAGAAAGCTCTCATCGCCTCCGGACAGGAGCTGGTGGCTCAGCTCATCCAGGGGATTACAAAGAGGATGGGTCAGTGCTTTTATTCAATCCCACATAGGAAACCATTTAAAACTATGATGAGCTAAATACCTCTTGTGTTGTTCAGTTTTTGAAAAAGCTGCTTTTTATGTGTGTTTGTTATTTAATTATTTCCGCAACATTTCTTATTTTTGTGTTTGTGCTTCATTGCATTTCATTTTTCAACTGTTTTGAAATGTGCTATATAAATACAGTTATTATTATTATTACTAGTGCTTTTAGTATTGTAATATCTCAACCATCTCATCTTTTAGAGAACGTGAGTGAACATCTGCAGGTTCAAGGCTCGGAGGTGCAGGACAGCCACAAGGCGATTGTCCGAGACCTGGCAGACGTCAGACATCAAGCTCAGGACATCTACGAGAAAATCGGTAATAAAAGGCACCAGGCATCGAAATCTAAAGTCATCACATGATTTCCCACATCTGCAGTTAATATCTGACCTGTTCATTTTAATTTTTGCTCAGACCACAGCATGCTGGAGTTCCTGCAGTACCAGGACCAGACCTCCCAGTACTACAGAGACCTGATGGACAAACTGGAGCGTATGAACAGCACGCTGGGCTTCATGCTGCACTACATCGACAACATGCAGAGTCGGATAGAGGAGCGGCTGCACATGATCCAGGGCTACCTCGGCTGGGCAGGTGAGACCGAGACCAACACTGCAACCACGAGCGTCTGTGCACCTGCTCATAGTTCCGACATTTTGTTTTGTAATTTCACAGTTAATGCATACAGCAACATTTACAGAAATCCAGGAGGAAGACAGATATTTACATTTTGAAGTATGTACAGTACGACTGTTAACGATCACGGAAAGTTCAAGTGTCACTCACAATTGTTGGTTTTAACCACAGTCACCATAATGTCAGGATCAGTGACCATTTCTCTTTTGCAGGTCTGAGTCTGACGGCCATGTGGACGTGCATCGCACATACAGGCTACTTCTTCCTGATTGCCGTCCTCTTGACTTTCCTGCGTTGTCCCGGTTTCTCTCGAGCGATGCTGCTGCTCACTGTCCCCCTGAACGCAGTGGCCGAGGTCAACCAGCAGCCGGCGCTGGATCTCAGCAGCCTCAGCCTGCTGCTGCTCACTGTCTCTCTGGGTACAGACTGTAAAAACCTGCCAGCAGAACAGACGAGACGCCTCCGGTGTTTTAAATGTATATGTTGATCATGTGTCCTTCACGTGTGCAGGTCACTGGTTTGTGAATCAGCTGTGGTCGAGCCTCAGAGGGAAGTCAGCCGCCCCGCTGCCTGTGGCCGCGTGCGACGTCGTGGAACCACAGAAGCACAAAGTTCCGGCCTGTCACTCGTATCCAGCATCGTCTACTCCACAGAAGTGAGTCCGCAACTCACGACCCTCAGTGAAAACAAAAGGCCCCGTGTAATAATATAATATTTAAAAACTTGTAAAGCACCTTTCATAAAAGAAATGCAACTCAAGGTGCTTTACATACACAAGGGTTAAAAATAAAAGCATGTGAAAATGTAATAAGATTTAAAGAAACATAATTAAAACGAAAAAGTGATCAAAATTACAAAAGCGCAGGAATGACAACACAATTCCTAGATTTGCCGATTAGTCCGGATCTGCACCCAAAAAAAAATTATTTTAACTTTTTCTTGGACCATGAGATTTGTGCTCTTATTGCTTTGTCGTTGATCAATTTGATGCCGTCAGTTTTATTCTTTGCTCCTCAGGGATGAAAATTTTGGCTTCATGGAGCCGGATGACCTCCTGCACCAGGACAGCTTCTTATCTGGTGAGGGTTTTTATTTCAAGCTGTGGAATATTTAAGAATTCCTTTGGAGTTTTACTGAGTGTTTTACTTGTGTCTGTGTGTGCAGGCGACCTCGGGCTGTCTGTGGTGTCTCCTCCTCGCAGGAAGCCGATGATAGAGTCCAGGCTCATGCAAATAAAAGGAACATCCTGTCACTCTTCTCCCAGACTGACGGAACACCCTGCTGTTGCAGCGGTAAGCACATACCTCACTGTCGCAGGTTACACGTGTTACGAAAAACAAATCAGATAATGTGGCGATGAATGTCTTTATGTTGCCTATAGGCCCTTATGGATGACGTACCGGTCAGGAGCCTGGGAGGAGTTTTTGATGCAGTGAACGACTCGCATGATTTGTTGAGCGACTCTCGATGCGCAAGTCCAGCTCCGTCACTAGTTAGCAACAGGTTGGTGTTTAATGTTTTCTTCACACTGGAGCCTGACAGATTTATCGGTGGTCTGTGAATCAGACACATCTGCCTTTATGTGAAAACTTATTTCACAGAATATACAATGCAGAATACAAGTTTTATATAATTTATTATTAGTAGTTATTTATAATAAAGTTGATGGTCAAACTGTAAAATATCAAGCACACTGGGGGATAATTGGATCTGCAGTGTCAGTCAATCAATATCCTGGTCAGGTTTTGTTTTAGTCTTCAGATGTGACTGTGCCCTAATGACGAAAAGTTGGAAATAACTTTTCTCATCTGTTTTAGTTTCACACATTAAACTGATAAAATGTCTCCTGTTCCTGTGGCAGCTCTGCATCCGGCCGTCAGCTGTGCAGTGGAATCACTAAGACGGGGAAGGCCTGTAAGAAGAGAGCCGTGCTGGGCCTCGAGTTCTGCAGAGTCCATGACGGAGGGCACGCCTCCTACGTTCAATCCTGAAAATACTCAATTTCATCCTCAGCATGAATTTTATTGGTGGAGGGACGTCCCTGCAAAATACTAATGAAGCGTTACTGTGTCTTGTGTACTTCACTAAGCAGGCTATTTAGTTACTCGTTTTTAAAAATGTGCTTTATTATTTTCATTGTTATTTACACTTTTAAGTTAATAAATTATTTCTTAACCTGTCAATAAGTCTGTGTACGTTTCTTTGTGTTGCGACAGCCGCTCTGGTTGCTCTGCTGGACTCAATCATAAAATTGATCTTTCATTTGAGACGTGAAAACTTTTGCTGGGCGGCTCAGACTTATTGCCTCAGCTGTGAAATCATTGTTAAACATTCTCACAGGACACTTGACAGCATGATCATGGATATAAAATTTATTTTGCTCAGTCCCACCATTATAAAATAAAAATCACTGCAACCAATATATTTAAATATACAAATCAATCATTTTCCCAATTAAATACTTCACACTACATAAATGAAATTAAAAATTGTGTCAGGAAATACTACACACTGGTAGGATCAAATATTTTACTCAACCTATACTGAAACATGTCTGCAATGTAAACTAGTATTGTACAGACATGAACTTAAGCCGAGTCACTCAATCCAGAGACCTCATTTACAGACATGTGAAGGATCCATCTAAAAGGTGGTTGCATTTAAAAAGCCTAAAATAAAAAACAGATTCTAAAACCATTGTACCACACCCCTTTATGATTTAACATTCAACAATCAAAGATGCTAAAGTAACTTGTTCAGGATCTCGTTGGTGTCAACGTATTTCCACTTCTTGGAGTGTCACAAAATTTAACCGATTGAACATCCACCACCTTGTTTGTCTTCCAGCCTCTCCTCCTCCTCCTCTCTTCTTCTTCCCTCCTCAGTGGAGGACAGACGACACTTCTCACTTGCGGGCGGTGTCGTAATTGGCAGTGAACCAATCACAGGTTTCCTTCATGGCTGTAAATGACAACAGGAGGACTCAGAATATACAAAGAGCAGATGATAATCTAACAGCACATACTGTAAAACTATTTCGTTTATTGGAGAAACTGGTCCCACCTTGTTTGAAGGGAGTGAATTTGAAGTTGGGCAGGTATCGCTGCAGCTTTGCGTTGCTGGCGGTCTTTTTGAATTGGCCGTCTGATTTACTGGTGTCAAACTATCACACCAAGGTTAAGGAAACAAGAGTAAATCATGGATACATCTTATGTTTCACATATCAAAGTCAATCATATACAAATTTCATACACGTTTCAAATATTTTCCAAAATAAAAAATGACCTGTTTGACCACTTTAACAGCAGGTTGAAGATTGAAGCTGAACTGTACATCAGTTCAAAAGACTAAGAAGTTATTAAAAACCAGAGTTCATCTCCAATATTCAGCAGGAAGCCTTTAGAATATAAAGAGTTCTAGACAGAGTTTGCTGGATTTGTTACGGAGGCAGTTCAGCTACAACTCAGACACACACTAATGTTTCAGGTTGAACAGCTTTTGGGTGAACTTGTGATTTAAAGGATACTTGAACTTCTCCTTCAAAGCCTATCGCCTCGGCAACTAAATCTGCTGCTTCCTTGATGGACACTTCGTCTTCCTCTCCAACTGCGAACAGACACAACATAGTTACGATAATTCACAGCTTCAATATCTGCATCTTCAACTTGTCCCGTGTGGCAACTTACCAGAGAGGATGATTGGGTCGACCTCTGGGTACTCGCACAAGACCCACAGGAAGAGACGAGCCAAGTCCAAAGAGTAGATGAACTGCCTTCTGGGTTTACCAGAGCCCCAGACCACCAAGGGCTGACCCTCCTCTAATGAACAAAACAACATGTAAGATACGCGAAGAGTTCAATCCATCTACAGACTCTAAACACGATGTTATTAATAAAATGGAGAAAAAAACCATAATATGATTAAATTTCTCCCATGAAGACTTATTGGATTTGTGCTCAGCATTGAGCAAAGCCATAGACTGTAAATAATGATGGTATCACAAGACTGTTTGATCCGGCCTGCGAGGCAGTTCATGAATATCAAAAACACATTTAAACACTTTAGTGTGCAGTGAGTTCACCTGTAACACACAACACGAGACTTACACAGTCAGGACATCAGTGTTAAAGTGACCTTAACGATCCGGCCTCAAGATCTGACACCATTGATTAATAACTAAATAAATGTGAATGTCTTTTTGTGTCTGAAATACTAACATAATACAATACAAAGCTAAAAGCCCAACTAAATCATAACCATCCCATTTACCGAGCTGGTAGCATATCCTCTGCCAAATGTTTAATATTTATCCTCTGTTTATAATATTTTTATAAACAGAGGAAGAGAGTCCATTTTATTTATTGTTGTCTGTCTTTATAAACAGTCTGAGAAAAATTCTGTCCATGAGACTGTGACCTACTTTTAGCAATGTAAGCTTTGTGGATGAGACCCGGCAGCACGTGACCATCATCAATGTTGAAGTTGTCGTGAGGACCAAACACATTTGTGGGGATCACAGCCGTGTACTTGTGTCCGTGCTCCTTGAAATACGCCCTGTGAGACATGCACACACTCAGCACACTTTGAACAACTTTGCAGTTCTTCAACAGTCCTCGTCGAAGGACCTCCGACTCAGATGACGTTCTCTGACCAGCTTCAAATTAGAAAAGTGTTGCTTCTTTGTAAAGCTATGCATTGATTCACCACTACACCGAAATGTATAATGGACTCATTTGTATATCTCTTGGTGGAAAAAAAGACAAATGATGTGCATGTTAATTTGCATAGAGAGGGAGGGAGATATCAGGTCTGAACAGGGCCATAGAGACAAACATCCATTCATACATGTCATTGGAAGGTGGACTCAAGAAGCTGTGTCAAAGCATTCTTGAGATACTGTGTTTGTAACAATGGAAATGACAGACAACATGAAAACATGAAGCCTCTGGCAGCTGCATGTCACACCAGAGTTAACATACCTGTTATGGATGTCAAGCATTCTCTTTGCATAGGAGTAGCCAAAGTTTGAGTCATGAGGTGGACCGTTGTGGATCTGATAGAAAGGAAAGTTAGTTAGCATGTTAAAAACACACAGCGTCAAAGGTGTGGTGTAGTCTGACTTCAGCAGCCTCTTACCATGGTCTCATCAATAGGATAGGTGGTTTTATCTGGAAAGATGCAGGTGGATAGGCACGACACCACCTTCACAACACCCATTTCATGTGCTGCCTGCAGCACGTTATCATTGATGTAGACGTTGTCCCTCTAGGGGGAGCAGACACATCAGTGTTAAATTTGAAAATAACACATTACTGGATAACCATAACACAAATGTACAAATCTTCTGTAGCACAAAGCTTTTATTATCGGTGAAAACGGAAGAGCAACTTCCTCATACCCAAAAGTCAAGGTTGGAATTCATGTTCCTGAAAAGACCTCCAACCAAAGCAGCCAGGTGGATGACATGGGTTGGCCGATGCTTCTCGAACACCGCCCGTGTCTCCTCTTTGCTCCTGAGGTGAAGTTGAGGTGTGGTGAGGTACAGTATAGTACGGTACGGTATGTTCAGTTGCAGCATGTATTGTGAGGTAAGGTAAGGTAAGGTTAAGTGATATAGGGTAAGTTACTGTAAGGTAAGGTATGCTAAGGTAAACTTTATTGTCCTAAGGGGGGACTTTGAAGCCACTGCATCACATTACATACATTGGCATTGACATTGCACATACCTATAAACACAGCAGACATTAAAGCTTCGCCCACAACATGAGAAAAGAGCAATAACTAGTCTCGACATTGTCGTTGTGCACAATGAAACATCAGCAGTATTTACAGGAGGTGTGAGTCTCACATGAGGTTGGCATCTTTAGAGGTGAGGAATATCCATTCTTCCCCCTCCTTGTCTCCTCGCTCCTCCTTGACCACCTGCTGTATGGCCTTGCCCACCAGGCCAGATCCTCCAGTCACCAACACCTTCATTGACATGGCGTGATTAACCTGGACACGAATGGAACAAAAATACCTTTTGTGAAAAAAAAGATGGAGATGTGACGCCAGACTGGGCTTCCTAACGTGTAACTTAACACTTACACTGCTGAATGACTGACCCTGTCCTTTGTTTCCCTCGATTGTTACGGTGCTTGACACTTCTTTCCGTCAGCAGCTTACACCCGGTGTCTCCACCTCACCAGTGTTTGTTTACCTTTGCTGACGGACACGTCACTCAGGGAAACTCCACGTCACTAATTTAATGTTGCAGTAAGATAAAGATCCTAGATGAATGGATCTGAACAGCAAACTATTATAAAATAATAATAATAATAATAAACCTTACAAACACAACTAGCAGCTGCTGAGCGGTGTTAGCTTGCGGTCACCAGCCAATGATGCGCGAGTGCGGTGAAGAGTTAGCTTCCTGCGGGCTAACAGCATAAAAATAGTTGTTTCTCACCTGCGGGCTTTAAAACTGCAAAGACGAGGAAGACGAGCAGGTGTCGAGTCGGACTGAATCCACACACAGGTTAAGGACGAGGTATATCTGTGTGTATTAGTACACAGTTCCTTCAAACTCCGCCTCGACATGAAGTACTTTACTTCCCCCTTTTCTTCTTCTGCGGTTGCTTCACGCCCGAGTTGGTCTCGCTAGCGCCACCCCCGGTGACACTGCGGTACTGTCGGTGAATAAACCGAGGCGGTTCCTTGTAAATTTGATTTGAATGATCACTGATGTTTAATTTTCTTCTTCCAAAGTCAAAAAGTACAAGTTAAAAACTGTTAAATTAAAACGAGACAAATGAAAGTGATTAAAAAGGGGTTTGAGTAAAAAGGATAAATCTGTCCAATCAGTAAATTAATGGAAATAAAGTTAAAATACAATTACTCCAAATTATTCAGTCCTTCTGCTAACAGGCTACTTACCTACTTAACTTCATTTAAAATGACAGTAGTAATTTCTGTCACAGCAGGAAATATACTGCACACGTATATATCTTACTTAATAGAATCATTTTAACCATATTCAATATTAGACCTCTTTTATTCTCTTCCACCAGGTTATACCCTGACCCTCAGGTGTACTTCAGTCCTCTGAGGTTTTGAAATCTGAAGCAAATAGATCTGAGGTGAACTGAGTTTTATTTGTAGTGTCTTACTCACAAACTCCACTGATCAACTGAATAAACAGGCTTTCGAGTATTTTTCTTTATTTGTGCATACATATATATATATATATATATGTGCAAAGGCAAAATATTATATACGTGGCAGATCACCTAAGCTGCTTTAAGATAAGCACAGAACTCTGGATAGTCTTGTAAAATTATCTGGCTCTCCCAAAATCAATATATATATATTACAAATCATAATTGCATCAAAAATATTCTTCATTAATTAAAAGCTTCATCTATGATTTCAGTGTAAAAACAGACAAAAATACAATTAATTAGCAAATATCAGGATTCAAAGGATTCAGCTTTTATTTGAATATCTTCCTTTCCTGGTTCTCTCTACTGAGGAGATGAGAACCTGCCGAGGAAGAGGATGGACTTGGTCTTATTATGCCTGATGAAGAAGAGGAAGGGGTGGTCTGCTGTGAAGTGTTCCTCCCTCAACATACAGAAAGATACCATGCCTGCTGTGGCCGCCGCCGCCTCCGTGCCCCCCTCGTTCACCTCCACGAAGGCCTTGTGGGCCACCGTAGACAGGAAGAGCCCTCCTTCGCCGTTCATGCCAGACAGGTCGGCCTTGGCGGTGCAGAACACGTCCGTCATTCCCAGTTTAGCCAGAGGCTCGTTCAGCTCGTAGTCCTCCTCCAGCTTGAACTTTGGCAGGTGAACGAGGATCTCTGACTGGACGTCCATGTTTTCCCTGTCGGTCCATTCATTCAGCCTCTCCTGCGTCAGCTTCTTCTCCAGCTGGAACAGAGCGAATGCATTTTATCACGCCTCTAAAAAAGCTGTGTTCATATTTCAAGATGTACTGTCTGAACAGACTGGTAAGTTGTAAGATGCATATTATCCACGTTATCCAGTTTTACCCTTTTGGTCTCCACCATCTCCTGATGAAAATAACTGGCTTTTCAGCGCTCTCTATATGAAAAACCTGTTTTTATGCTGTGTACCTTCAGCAGAGGGGCGGAGCCTTTTGTGGACTTTTCAGGCAACAGGATGAACATGCTGAGCTCCTCCCCCACATACGGCAGCTCCAGGATCTGCAGAGCGTGGTCAGGGATGTAGTTGTAGGGCAGCTTCTTCATCTGGTACATCATCTGGACCGGTTTACTCTCAGTCTGACACATAGAAACACAAACAATTGATGCGTTTGGATCAAGTTTCTACAAAATCCCATCGTCAGTTTATTAAAATGTCGATCTACTAACTCCACTGTGATTACTTTATTATTTTATTGTGTTTCAGTGAGGAGCCAAGTGACATAGACTGTAATTACCATAACTGAGAGTACAGTACATTGAGCTGATTGACAGAGCTTTTATTTTGAAACGTGTGAACTTGGCTCGGTTGTTTAAAAGGCCTCTGAAATAGAAGAGATATGAAAAAATAACAGCAGTTCAGCAAATGATTTCCTTCTGCATTGATATGGGATTTTTTTACCCGGTTGACTTTAAAAAGCATCTCTTTGGTGTTTGCTTCATCAAAGCGGTTCATCCAGTTTCCCTTGAAGTAGATGGCATTGACAAGAGCCAGCCTCGTCATTGTAGAGACTGTCCCCGGCTTCAGGAGATCTTTTATTTTATCTGAAATGAAACAGAACATTTGACAATTCAGAACAGTGTCAAATGATTTATTCCCTTTTTTTCTAAATTCAATATATTCGTACTTTCTGTCTGCTGCTCGACCCAAGTGTTGATCTCCCCTCTGCTCGCCTCTGCGGCCCCGATGAAATCCACAGTCTTCAAGTCTGCCTGGTAGTACTTACGCGTGGCTTCCAGGAATTGCTGCAGAGAGCAGATATCATCTTATATTTTCAAGGAAGTTTTTTTTTTCTTTATCAGTTTAAGAGTTAAAAAAGGAAAACTTACAGGAAGGAACTTTGCGGTATTCTCCCCATACAGACGATTGGCAGTTTTCAGAATGTATGATGCTGATGGTGAGTTGATGTCTGCGTTTAGCGCCTCGAAGTCGGCGTGGACGGCTTCACCAGAGCTGAATGACAGGGCCTGTGTGGAAGTTTGGATTGACACGTGACATTTAAAAAAAAAAAAGAAAGCTGCACCACAGAGCTGCAGACCAAACACTTTTCTGAAATGTTCTGCAGGGGCTGTAGGTGAGGACGCTAATCTCCAAGTCAGTTGCTGCCAGCCCACTTGTAAAAGGGTCCATAAAATGGAGGGATGACGCAACTGATGACACACTATACGTTTAACATTAATAAACTTTGACCAAACAGGAGACAGACTCATCAACCAAAGTGACGTTGTTGATCACGACTAGGGATGTCACGATATGAAATCTTGGTGCCTCAGGTCTGACTCTGACTCTGAATGACAGAGACATGGTGTACCTGTGCCATTTGAACAGCGGTGTCTCCTCTGGCCCCCAGGTAGACCATAGCCAGAGCTGAACTGATGCTCAGCGGAGAGACGAAGATATTCCCCGATGGGTTTGCTTGGCTCAGAGTCCAGAACAGCTCCCAGGCAAACTGTGTGTTTGAGCTGCTGACGGCGGCCATGGCTGACGATGTACAGTTTTCCTGTAATGAACAAAAACAGAAATGCACCTGATTGCTCCTTGATTGCGTTCCAACCTTTTTGCAGAACAAAATGTGCCAAGTCCCACCAGACTGGATGTGGTTCAATTCAATTTTATTTGTGTGTGACGCCAAATCCTAACATACATTCTCTCAAAGCACTTTGAGACATTAAAGACTCATCGTGGACAGACAATAATGACGACAACAGTAAGGATGAAGAAGTGATGCTATTAATAAACAAGGGCTTTAAACCACAGCTTCATTAAATGTTATAGTGCCCTAGTCATTACGCATTTGTCGAACAGAACGGTGATTACACTTCCGGGTCTGTGCCACAGCTTTCCTTGAGGTGCGTAATTACTCTTTATACACAGTCCGTGGTGATTACGCAGCGTTAAGACAATGTTAACCGCAGGACTCAACATGAAAAACGTGTTAAACCAGAACTTGAAAGGTAACATGAGGTAATCGTGTTTGAATGACACGTCAAGATTACACGTCTGACGATGTCTCGCTCACACACCCATATGGCGATGGAAAACATTCCCGAAACGTAATATGACTGAATGATAATATGAATACGCAAAAGTACCTGAATGAGGAGAAGGTCTCGGCGCAGTGGCTTGGAACCTGGAAGTGGAGAGGTGCACGCACACCAGTGTGTGTGGGTGTGACGCGTGACTGGGCGATAAGTCACCGACTGCTCTGAACAAAACAGTCCATTATAGGCCAGTTGTGCACCAATGGAACAAATGCAACCGACACAATGCTGAGAAAAGGTTTGCACAACCTGTTGCGCAGCTCTTTGTGCCATCACTTTAATATGTTGTATTACAGTTGTTCTGAATTGGTAAAACACTAATTCCTGTTGTGTGAATTAATTGCTCAGTTGTTTAAACTCATTCACTGAGTTGAGCATCGTTTTGACGAAACCATAAACTATCTTCACCTAGTAAAACACTATTTGCAGATCTCAGTCTTTCCTTTTGCAAAACTCTAAACACATTCTCATGCAATAAAACACAGTTGTCACTGTGATGCACTTGTGACGCATAATGGTAAAAACCAGTGCCAGCTATGAACACAAATGAAACACACGTGTCATCCATTGAACACAACGATTCCAAATTGATCACACTTGTTTCGCTTCATGTCATGACAACATGACAACCAATATAAGTTCAGAGTGCATCAGGTTGGTCCTGCAAGCTCATGACAACAATGGATCAGAGACACAGAGGACGAGTGCGTGTAAGAGGAGGTAGAGGTGGAGGACAAGAAGGAGGCAGAGGAAGAGGAGGGAGAGGAAGACGAAGAGTGGCAATTCCTGATGGTGGTACAGTTATATAACACTGTGTGCTGCTATAAGCAACCGGGGTGTTCTTCACCATCATGCCACTCTGGGGCCATAAACTGTAACACCCAGCACCTTCTCACCTTTCTTGGTGCAGATGTGTTGTCTGCAAATGAACAGCGGGAACATGAAATGATTGAGCAGCATATTTATGTTATAATTTGGGACAATGTTAGTTTTCACCGCGCTGTCCAAGCCAGAGAATGGTTCCATATGAATAACCTATACTTGCCACCGTACTCTCCCTTCCTCAATGCAATAGAGGAGTTTTTCTCCACTTGGAGATGGAAGGTGTACGAGCGACAGCCCTACACCAGGCTCACAGTAATCTTCTTGAGTCCATGGAACTAGCCTGTGATGACATCGGTGAGGAGATGTTGTCAGGGCTGGGTACGGCACACTAGGGTTTTTTCTCCCCGTTGCCAGGCAAGGGCAAATATAACGTGTGATGTGGATGAAGTGCTGTGGCCTGACCCAGTCCAAAGACAGGATGACGCTCAATGAAGCTCAATGATCAACTGTGTAAAGTACTTTATTGTGACCAATAAACATTTCTCCATGAGCAACAGGCCTTGACCACTGTGTTTTCAATTTTTTGGTGTAGTGTTGCTCAGCAGTTTTTCTATTTTGAACGATTCGTGCAAGATCTGACAACATTGTTCGGTTTTGAGCACGTGTGAAACTGTTTTGAGGCGATGGTGTGGTTTTGCAAAAAGAATCAGAGGTTTTGTGAATGTAGTTTGAGAAAAGAGTTTTGTGTTTAGAATTCTGAGAAAAGGACAGGAGGATTCAAAAAATGTGTTTTAACAATTGTGAAAAACTGTAATTATATGTGCCTTAATATGAACAACTTCTAGACTTCAAGGACATTATACTGTGAAACTGAATTTGATATGAGTGTGATTCATGAGAAACAAATGCTTGTGTAATATATTTCTAATCTAACAAACTTTAATCTTCTCTTTATGCTTTTACTCTCTTCAAATGAACATAGATATGACATAGAGGACACCGCCTCTGTGACCAATACAGTTAACTAATTATATTTTTTATCCCAAAGTAAATTAAATCATGATAAAAGTGGTGTTTGATGACGTATGCAATTAAATCAAATTATGCAAAAGTAAAGTAATTATTCAGAAATGAATCTCCATGAAATGTTGCATTAGTAATAAATCCAGCGCTGACAGTGTGCTGGAGTTATTGTGAAAACTTTTAATTCCTCATGCCTTCATAGTTTTTCATGGAATCAGACAGACAAAGTGAGGAGGAAGTTTTTACAGAATGTTCAGGTGAAGGAACTTCCATAGAGGAACTTGCATAGCAGGAGTTGTCTCTTGTGAAACAGTGAAAGGTGTGTCATGGTGATTTACTGAGATTGTATCTCGTCCTCACCCCTCAGTTAGAGTCACATTATCCTCTGGCAAACATGATAAACATTTCCTATTCTTGCCAACCTTTGGCCCCTCTGTTAGACTCTCCCACTTCAGAAGCCTTATATAAGTTTGAAAAGTTTCCTGATTTCTTGGAATGACCAAATCAGAGAATACGCCTCATCGATAATCAAAGACACGCACACATTCTGGTGGCGATAAAAAAACTGTTAAAGTTTGATAGATTTTACTTTAAATGCATTCATTTGCCTTTTCAAGCCCGAAGTGAAATAACTTTTTTTCTTACCTGCACCTGGGATGTTGTGTTTTTACTTTGTTTTTACACAAATGTTGCTATTACGAGCATCAGATTCAGAGTGAGAGCTACACAGAATAAAGAAGAAGAGAGTTCTTGCATGAGAGAGAGGGCCGTATTGAATACCACTTGAGGGTACGCACACAACTGCGGCTGAAACTATGAGAGCTGACTGTCTGCATGAACAGTAACAACAGCTATGGAGGATAGCACGAGTGAGCATGTGGCAAACAGCGCTGCACACAGCTAAACAATGCAGCAAAGGTGCAAAACACCAAGTTAGAGATGTCTCCAGAAGTGAACACATTTTTTTGTTTCAGTACGAAACTGTGGCATTAAAATAGGGTGGGCCGCCAGCGCCTAGAGGCAGTTTAGTTTTCTCTTGATACTCTTTACCACGATGGCCCAAAGTGCTCAACATACTGCAGCTTAGACCCCAAAATATGTATTTGACAACTTTCACGAATACAGAAAAATGCTGCAAATAGCAGATGACAGAAATGTATCCAGGGGTCACACAAAAAGCTGTTGAACCTGTTACTGAGAGCGTTGGCAGCTCATTTGTTCCAAAAAGATTTTTGTTGGCTCCAGACACAGTTTACAGTAAAACCACACGGGCTTCCTTCCTTGCGTTTTCTTCTGAGCACAAATTACAAAACAAATAAAGGCTTGTATCCCGTAAAGCCTGTGTGCTAGGTTGCAACAGCCGTGACCCAGAACAGTAGCCTGAGTAAGATGGTGCAATGGAAAAACTGTCACAGAGAGAAAACAGACACAAGGCAACAAGCTTGTTTGTTCCACAACAACGCTGAATGTCAAGGCCAGCTGAGCAGAACAGTCTGCGATTGGTCAATTACTCTGGCTTTAATTTGCCTTTTGAAGGTGAATCAAAGGAGCAGTTCAACATTTTAAAGAGACTCATTCAGTCACTTTCTGACGTGCGCTGAAGGAGACTTTCCTGAAGTTATGTCGGGACACTAATATCCGGGTTTCTAATTTCTGGACATTTTTTCCCGGAACCTTTCCTGCCAACCCCCTGGTAAAATATCCGAGTGACGTGTCTGTGACGTATCTAACAGAGGACAGTAATTTACTACTCGTCTCTGTGTCTCTATGATTCGCACCGTGCCAACCGTTTCAAGAAAGTAGACCGTCTGGTCTACAGAGGTTTACGTGATTTGGGACACAGCTAACCAACGTATATATTAAGATGGACGACGCATCTCCAGTTCCTCCCATTTCACAGAAATGTAGCCAAAATATCCTGGATACCTATCACCCGATCACGTGTTGGTTTCACGTGTCGCTCATCACGTTTCATCCTCTTTATATACGTAGCATAAAACACAACTTATCAGAAAAATAAACAACTTGACGTACACCAGTGTGATGTGAGTTATAAAATGACTTTGCTCCATGTCCCATCCACAACATGGAGGAGAACTATACTGGAGCCAGCCACCAGGGGCCAACCAGATAATGTGGCTTCACTTTTAGGAACGGTCATGTCATCCATTTTTATACACAGTGTATGGTCTCAACTAATTAGGATGATGAGTCTCTGTTGGCTCATCAGCCATCACTCTGTCCGTGCATGTACAAAATACTGACCTCATTCGAATGCTTGACTCTGGAGTTAATACTCCTCTTTTAGATGTAATTAAATAAGGTGTGAGTATTTGATCCTGAACCAACAGATGGTGGACACTGTGTTTGAGCTCTTTCTGACTTCATCAGATTTCTTCAGAGTCTTCGTTTGTGGGAACCTGGTGGAACCGGTCGCTGCGGAAACCTCTGATGACTCGTTCACAATAATCAACAAAACCAAACACCAATTTTTAATCAGGCATGAAAGTTCATCCTTTGACGTTTGACAAAAGTCAAGAGTGCAAATTGTTCAAAGACTTAGTGAGTCAACTTTGAGTTCACTATTTTTCAAAGTAACTTGATGAGGTTACGTGTAAAACCACTGCACCTTCTCTTTGTGCCATGTTTTTCCAACATGGAGGAACAACTGTCGCTCCTGGACAGAGGTGGGTGATAACACATTTACTCCGCTACGTGTACTTATTGTGTAGTTATTTCAATACATTGTACTCCCGAGAGAAGTTGTTTTGACACACGCTTCTCGCTACTTCACCATGGCTTTGATTTATTATTTTTGTGTGTCTGCAGAGATGACTGTGAGGTGATAACACTAAAAATCTCTCTAAAACAAAACCTTGTTAAGACACTTTACTTTGATAGGAGCACAGGAGGTGTTGAAAATATTTGTCTGTGACATATTCAACAAATAAACATTAAAACTGAGGCGGAGGATCATTTTCATTATCTATTCTGCTGTGAGCCGAGCGGAGATATACCGAATATTTCATGCCTTAATTGAACATACATAATTTAAATTGTAAAGACTTACTTTGTTTTTGAGTGACTGCATCTAAACCCTTCCTGCAGGGATTGATAGTTTATTTTTATAAGTATATTATCTTTTATCTCAGTCTATATCTGACACTGAAACACCATGTGCCTATTTGTGCTCTTCACCTTTTTATCTTACGACCAAGTTTGGAACATGTGTATTATGTGGCATCAACATTTTTTTGTTTAATCTATTGGAATATTATTTTTACTTTTGAATGTCTGCATCTTTCTATCTTG